CCTGCGGAGAAAGCTCATTTCGGCCGCCTGTATCCGGGATCTTGCCCTTTCGGTCATGACCCAAAGTTCATGACCATAGGTCATAGCTAGCCATCATTCCTGTCAAACCTGTGAAGCCTATTGGATGGATTTGAGATTGATTGGATTGCCACCCTGTCATTGGAGCTGTTTACCTGTAAGGGATTTTTGGAAAAATTATTGGCAATATGTTTACTAAGGGCCAGTAAACACCTAGAGACCTAAAGTGAAATTATTATATGTCTTGTATGTATCCTGAATAAACAGTAGAAGTGGAATAGCTAGTGCATGTTCCCTACTGAATGCATGTATCAAGCTTACACTGTGCTGTTACATGCAGTTCTCATGAGCAGTCAGATTGCAGATCTGCAGAAGGGTTTGCGATCACACCCCATTCTACGACACAGAACTTACCACGACTGTTAAGTCAGAATGTATAAGCTCATTTCATCATAAGTATAAGTAAATTAGACCATATAGCCCAGTTCTGGCCTGTCCTCACTGGCTTCCAGGTTGTTTTCAAATTGCTACAGACCTGACAGCTTTGTATTCATAGCTTAAGACATTCATTCATTTATTTATTTACATTGGCTTTTAATATATAGTACAGTGTCACACATTCTATTTAATATGAATAGTATGCACAGTAAATACAATGTAACGTGTAAATATTAACCTGTAATTGAATGTATTCATTTATGACAATTTCATCTATAATTGAAATATTTATATTTCTGAGCAATATTTCTCTTTATTTTAAGTTTATATGTATTTTGGATTTTAGTTTGAAAACCGGATGTTATTTTGACGCAACAGGAAGCACGAAAATACTTCAGGTAGCTTAACTTCGCTAATTCACGGGTATAGCAACATCCGATCGCAATAATAATGGCATAATCAGATTGCTGACAATTTTCTCTACCACTTTTATATATTATATGTGTGTGAGAGCTCTAAGGATGGCAGAATAGAAGCAGAAACATGGCAGGAAATGATGACAAACACACAGACGAACGCGGAGCGGGGTTCACGTGACAATAGAATGGGGGCAATTGGAAAAGAATGGAGCCATTGACTTTGAATGGAGAAGCACACAAAATATAAATATGGATTAAAAATAAACCGTAAGAGATATCAAGAAGATATTTACAACATCAATACCTGATTATGTCACGAGTTGAATACAGTTAGAATGGCATTTCTAGCCCACGGTATGCCTGAGATATTAAGGTTCAGCTT